ATATATAGATATATCTTTGAATGGAAAGCAAGTAAACTTAAACTGCGGTTGCCATCGGATTTACCTTTACTCTAATCTCAGGGGAAATGTAGCTCTCATGCGTGCATCGGTGCCTTCGATCTAATAGAACGGCATGCCGATTAAACCTGATGTGGTTTGATTAGAATACACCTCCATATCCTCCAAGTTTACAAGAATTGGCTCCTAGGACTAAAGTCAAGTATTGCAGCGACCTGAGCAAAAGTGCTTTTGTTTACTTACTGATACGATACCCGGGTCGTTTTTGCGGACACCTGGTGAAAGCACTGAGGATTTGGTCATGTATGCATAGCACGAATAGACAGGCCTCCTGCGGCCTGCCTCAAACCCTAACTCGAGAGAACTAAACCGAACAATGCCTACTTAAATGAAGGTAGAAGAAACTCTTGCAAATTAAACCGATCCTTAATTATTTTTTCCCTGGTGAAAATTTGAAGATTGTATAAACAGCAAAATTTAATGGATCCATCAATTTCGACAGTGCCCTTCAGTTGCTACCTCTCATTGCATAACGTGAATTAACGTCAGAGAAAATACACAATTGAATTCATGCAGAAAAAATCGATACAAAATGGCAAGGTCACTGTAAATGACCAAGAGGCAATCGATAAAGTAGGAAATTTAAAGGCTGTAGGCAGCAAAAATTGGTGAAAAAAAAAGTCCAAGGCAAAAAATAAAAATGGGGAGGGGAAGGTGTAAACAGGGAGCCAGTGTTACCAAGGTACAGTTAGGTTCACTAAATGCTCTAATTCTTTACGTAGGTCGGGTTTAAACCACCGTATGTAAGCTGCCTCCAGGGCGAACGCAAAGGCAATTGGCCACCAGAGCAAAGGAGCACTTACCCAGCTGGTAGTTTAAGCAAGAAAAACGAACTCCCCGCTCATCGATTACTGAACACCTGCTAGGTACGGGCCATTCCGTGGACCCTAAAACCTCCTTCCGAGTACTTTTTCAGGCACGAACAACTCGCACCTTACGCTACCTGCAGGCAGCTTACATACGGCGGTTTAAACCCGACCTATGTAAACAATTGGAGCACGTAGTGAACCTAACTGCACCTTGGTAACACTGGCTCCCTGTTCACACCTTCCCCTCCCCATTTTTATTTTTTGACTTGGACGTTTTTTTTCACCAGTTTTTGCTGCCTACAGCGTTTAAATTTCCTACTTTATCGATTGCCTCTTGGTCATTTACAGTGACCTTGCCATTTTGTATCGATTTTCTCTGTATGAATTCAATTGTGTATTTTCTCTGACGTTAATTCACCTATGCAATGAGAGGTAGCAACTGAAGGGCACTGTCGAAATTGATGGATCCATTAAATTTTGCTGTTTATACAATCTTTAAACCGATCCTACCATATTCTTACCCCACTTTCTATTGTGACCTGCATATCCTTTAGAGTTCCCTATCCCAGGCTATAAAAACCGAATTCGAGTGGGGGAAGCCCTGTTTGACGTAGACAGTTCTAGTTTAGCCAATGTTTCCGCGCACACAGCTACTCCTTCACATCGAGTAACTCGTCTCCGTTACGTACTAAAAAACGCCCAGTTTACCGACAAGTACTGGCGTAAAGAATACTGATGACTAGGCCAGAAGCAGTTGCCTTTCACGTAGACTTATTAAACATATAAGGACGAAAAATTAGATCCGAAACACACGACCTTCTTAGGCAACCAAAAGAATAACCATGGTGCCGAAATTGAAGAGTTTAGTAAGCGTGGGGTCGCCTTTGTCGAGGGTTGCATAGGTAACACAACACTCTTATTAACTTTATAAAACTACCTACTTATTTTGTAGTAGTAGGCATATTACATTATGCATCTATGTGTTCCGCCGGTCTAGTAGAGAAAGAATTAAGTTCCGCTTTGCCAAACCTGCCAGACCGTTACATAGTGACTAGGGTGATATGATGAAGTGGATCCGACAAAGCAAAGGGAGACCGGAATGACCATTTCTGGCTTATTAGCTGTCATCAGCCAGTCTTACCCAATCTCGCGGTTTGGAACCCCCGAGATTTGAACCCGGGACCTTTGGTTATTGAGTTCAATGCTCTACCTCTAGTCCACGGGTTCCTTGTTTTGTCATCATATCATCTTAGTCACTATGTGACGGTCTGGTGGGTTTGCGTTGCGAGCTCCTGGGCAAAACGGAACGTAATTGTTCCTCTACTAGATCGGCGAAACACATACATTCATCATATTCCCGACAAAGCAAGGGACCCGTGGACTAGAGGTAGAGTATTGAACTCAATGACCAAGGGTCCCAGGTTCACATCTCGAGGGTTCTAACCCTCGAGATTGGGTATGATTGGCTGATGACGGCCAATAAGCCAGAAATGGCCATTTCGGTCTCACTTTGCCTTGTCGGATCCACCTCATATTACACTATCTTTAGTCCAACTTCGAATTGTGTCGTATCCATATATTCGATTGTATCCCCAACAGAAATCTCCAGTGACATTCGATTCCTTTTCTACTTCGGTCTTTATGATTGCTGTCGTGCTTTCATCATTAAGAGAGTAATAGAAAGGGGACGTTTAAGCTGTCGATACTTTTTGAGAAAGTGATACGTTTTATTTTGAAATTATCATTCCAAAATGTTCAGCAAAAAAATCCCCGTTCTAAAAAAATAAGATTAGGCGCACAAACTCACAACACCGGAATATCAAAAATAATAAATGATCGCAAATGACCGCAATTTCCGACATTATGGATAAATATCCCAGGAAGAGTCGTCGAATATAGGCTACATTGGACTGCTTTCAAAACAGCGCTAGCTTTGTGACGTTGTGCTCTCGTGATCTTATTGTATTCCAATAAATAAATAGGGATAACAAACGGTATATAATGGGCGAAGTAAAAGGCAGTAAAATGCCCTCTCGGACGTGTATATAAGAAAATTTACATGCAAATAGAGGGAGGGGGAAAATGGCGGCTCAAATTGAAAAGCCCGCACAGTTATGTCATTGCTTGGTCAAGCAAGGACAAAACTGAATTTTATACGGATATGGGATATCCCATATGCTATAGCTCCGCAAAGCACGTCGTTGTAATGTTCTCTTTTATGGCAGCTTCCCCCTGCTAAAAAACGGCAAAATTCAGCAGGTGCACCGGATTTGCAGTCACGGTATCGAGAGGTCGCTTGTGCCCCTTATCAGCAGATCGCGTCACGTGCAAATGGCGTCCCTAAAGCGCGCGGGCATGCAAAAATCGATAAGCCAATCAACTATCACTTACGTAATTATGCCAACCAATTAAAATCAAGCACGCGTGTAGCTCGCGTTTGCGTACTAAGATA